CGATAAGGACCCTTAGTTTGAGTGAGATATTATCTACAGTGATCCTTATCTTTGCTCGACCTATCGGTATAACCATTGCATGATTGAATCCCATCAACGACTGACTTGTCTCCTTAATTTTCAAATTCATTCTCTTTGCAACACTCTCTCTGATAAGCGAGCAGTCGCTTCCTAGGTCAATCATGCAATGCTCAACCTCGTTATTAATAAGGCACTCTTTGAGCGGTTTGCCTGTCTCGCGGGTCTCTATTTTAAGGACGTCTAAGGTCTCGGAATTCACGGCTAGTCATGCCTTTTGTTCCCCTTTATTCCCTTCATTTCTGCGTTTCTTAAAGCAATCTTTCTCCGAGTGATTTGAGAGTCCGCAGTACCCACATCTGGGCCCTTTATTGTCGCCTCGACCATTTTTATTAGGGGTTTCCTCGGTTTTTGAGGCCCTGGTCCCCGAGTTGTCACGGCAAGCGTGCATTTTATGACCCGTCTTTCCGCAGCGAAAACATGTGTTGGGTTTTCCCCGGAGGGATTTCAGTCCCATTCGCTTCGCGTCTTTATTTTCTTTTGTCGAGTTTAAGTCGAGACTACTTAAACATATCGTCAAGTCAGCGAAAGTAGTGCATTTGGAGGCAATTACGTGTCCTCTCACGATTTCATCGGTAATTCCGCAAGTGACACAATCCACGATTAATTCCTCTGGCATTTCCCACGCGAGCTTCTGGAATTTCGCGATTTTCTCAAAACTATAGGTTTCTAAATCCTGGCCCGGCTTGCTCTTATACACGCATGCTTCCTCAAGTAATTTGCCGAAGCTTTGTTTACAGGGAAAACGCTTCGCGACGGCTATCTCAAATGCTTCCCAACTCAAGATTTTCCTACTAGAAAGGGCCGTGGCATTCCACCATCTCCTCGCATTGCCTTTAAATTTCAAAGGGGCTAAGTACAATTTTTCCCTGTTATTCCACCCATACATAATTGCACACTGATTAATGTTATCTAGCCAATCAGCGGCACTCATTTCCTTGCTCGCTGGATCAAAATCTGCTAGTACCTTTTCATTGAGGTATCGACTTCTAGAGTTTTCTGAATTCACGCGGTCCCCTGAGCTCATCAATACTGAGTTTTTGATTGCCTCAGCCTGAACTACTGACGTTTCCACTAGTTTCGGGATCGTATCTGATAAAGCCTCGAGCAATCTAGCCACATCGGAGTTACCACTAACCTGACTACCCTTTGCTGAAGAGCTTCTTTTGCTACAGCTGCTTCCGCTACGACGACTTCTTGGTGTTTTTGAACGGCTTCTCGAGCGGCTCCTAATGTCGTCCCTTCTGGTATCGTCCCGGGAACGTTCCCGACGATGTCGTCGGTTGCTTCGACGTCCCTCCCCGTCATCTCTTGAATGGCTGTCAACGAGGATGGGGGATCTAGCTCTCCTCTCCTCGGAACGGTGATTAATATCCTGGTCTGCCATTTTTCTACTGTTTGGCACTGCACTTCAGATACGCGTTAGTCACTTTCTTTTATATATATGAAAACGTGTGTATATCCTACTTCTGATCTGTAGTAAAGACTTTTTATTTGGAGTTTTTATATTTAGTT